TCCAGACGTGCACAGGTGGATCGATAAAAGCTACCTTGTAGGCTTATTGAAGGCGACTTCAGCTGAAATGGCATACACATTTTCGTTTTTAAGAATTAAAATGCATGTAGATGAAATGATTTTCTCACATATTTGCTGTGTAGACTTCCAAGAAAAACCTAATTCTTGGTTAGTGAATTTTATATAATTGTGAGTTCCTTTCTGTCCCACTGAAAATCCATTGGTTGTATCAACTAAAGATATTTCAGAATTAAGCATCTTTGGCCCAAACATGTATGAAAGATGAACTTGACCTTCAAGATGACACATCTGCATAGAATGTTGCATTAGAAACTTATAACAGTGATTTTTGAAATATTCTTCCAGAGAAACAATACTCTTCATCTCAGTCTTGTGCTAAAATAAAGTCACTTTTTGTAACAACACGAAACAATCAGTAAGCTAAGTAGTGTGTCCACAAAGTCCCTTTGTGGTTTTGAAAAATTGTGGCTCGCAAACAAATTGAGCTAGCCACATGCGGTTTGCGGCAGATTACAGTGAAACTCTGGAAGTTTTTTACTGACCTCAGTAGACCTCGATGTGGGCTCCCTTGGTAGCATGGAGAACATCCAGATGATATTCGAGCTCTTGCCATGTTCTGTGGAGCATGTACACTGGAATAGCCGAGATCGCATTCCTGATACGGGTCTTCAGGTCATCCAAGTCCGTTAACTGGTGTTTGGAACACATTGCTCTTGACATAACCCCACAGGAAAATATCCAGTGGTGTTATGTCTGGTGAACGTGGAGGCCAAGGCATTGGACCGTCTCTGCCGATCCATCTTCCTGGAAATGTCCTGTCTAGGTACGCGCGTACCTACAGACCCCAATGAGGTGGAGCACCATCTTCCAGAGTTTCACTGTAATCTGCCGTAAACCGCATGGTTATATTTTGAGGATAAAATTCATATTTTGGGTATAAAATTCTTGCTTGTAACTACATTTCTCAGGCATTTACAGTGAATCCTTCAGTTAGTTAAGATGCCGAAAGTGAAGTGTTCTGAAAGTGCAAAGTTAAGAGGTTTTGTTAAAGATTTTGGCAAGGAATATTTTATTTCTGATGGAATAATTCTGTTCTTTAAACTTTGTGAAGTTAAAGTTACAGTTGGTAAGCGATTTAGTGTGCAACAACATTGTGATACGGCAAAACATTAAAATAATTTGAGCCGACAAACCAGTCATCAAAGCGAGCAACAACTTCCGTTCGATAACACTGCAACAACTTCACCATCAAACATCGGAATTTTCAAAGGACCAGTGTGAAATGATGGTGTCTGGCAACTGAACAAAGTGAACAATAAGCAGTTCAAAACTTTCTTGGAGAAATACATGACTCAAGTTAATTCCAGATGAATCAACACTACGAAAAAACTATGCACCTGCCTGTTATGAAGATGTTCTAAAAAGAATTACATTTACTGAGGGCGACAATAAGATTTGGGTTTCAATTGATGAAACAATGGATGTCTGCGGCAGGTATGTAGCGAATGTCGTAATTGGCACGCTCTTTGTTGACCGCCCTGGTGACTTACTCCTTCTTGATACAGTGAATCACTCCTGTATTGCTGTACTTTTTGGTAACGCCATGAAACGTTTGTGATGTCAAAAGGAGCTTCTCAAGTTACAAGAACATATTGTGCGACAATCTAATAAGATTTTCATTTGAGACCTTAAAAATGCATATCGTTATATATCGTAATGCTGCCAAGAAATGAGAATGAAGAAATGTACGTAATGTTTATGATTTTGTTTATTTATTTACATGTGATTAATGAGTTTGATATGGATGAAAGGCTCTTCTTTCAAATTTATCTTCTTTTATGGGAGCACATATTATCAACATTTGATGCTGATCCGAAACAAGCCATTTACAACTTAAAGCGACCGAGATTTTTGATTAAAATTGCTAGGAAATCAAGTAATGTAATAGTTGTACATGCATATATAAATAAATAACATGATTGAAATACAAAATGATTTTTCTTAAATTTTGGCGAATACTTTTTCATAACAAATTAGTTCATATTTAGCTATTTTTGGGGCATATTTGCATGCATATTTTTCGGTTTTTTAGGTCATGAACATCCAAACCCTAGTATCATGAAGATGGAGTGTGGGAAACAATCTTACCAAATAAGTGTGCAGACATGCAATCTCGAGCTGAAACCAGGCACTCTTGGACTGCATTATTTTTATCTAATGGCCGTAAATCTATGACATGGGACCGCCTGCTTTACTTCCCCTCTGAAGGAAGTTGTGCTATGGATTTTTTACTGAATTAAAATTTAAGAGAAATTTCTCCTTCTGTAATAACCATTTAGGTTACCCTCATAATAAAGTTCAAGTGCTGTTAATTCAGTCATCATAGCAGAAGTTCATTAGTATGGTTTTCATGTAATAAAAAAGAATCACACTTCAGAAGAAAATGGTAATAAAACGGGATTTTGTACGTAAATGTATAAGCATCCTAAGTTACAAGGAACTGGATGTTATGTTCATAAACTTCTAAAATTCAATAAAACAAAAGCTAGAAAGTTGATAGCATGTTTTATTCCATGAATACACAGACAATACGGCAAGTAATAATGTTGAAACTTTGTACATTCTGGCTGAGATTCATTCTTCTGTTGTCCACTCCCATACAAGAATATTCACTCACTTGTCTTCAAAATCTTACATATATAAATCTCACTTTCCATCTATTGTACATTCTCACGAAAATACCTACAGCTCGCATGTGCATATCAAATGTCTACATTCTTGTTAAACAGCTGTAGTCATCACATGTTGCCATATTTACTGAAACAAAACTAAAACAGCATGGTTCCCACAGAGGAAAAGCCATATGCAATTTAAAAATATAACAACAGAGATAAACATAATCGGCTCACATTACATATAAAAAGATCTCTTCATTTGTGCTTGTTTATGTTAGATAACAACCAATGTGCAGAGAAGTTTTAAATTGTGCCTAAACGGAAGACGTTAGGGTTTCAAAACTTTCGACACCCTGCTGCGTACTCTGTACGACGGATTAGAGGAATTTGAAAACAGTATCAACTACAGAAATGAAATGCAGGCCAATGTGATCCGTCACTTGTTGGCGTGTATACCGCTTTTTGAAATTGAGCATATAAAATACTGGTCATGTCTTTGGTTTGTCAGTACCACTTGGGTATCACTTGCTGTTGCCAAAAACTCCCTATGCTTTCAAAATTCAGACCAATGAGATAGGCGGTAACAAGCTCCTGCTTAGGTTCAAACTTGAAATTCTAGAATATTATGAAAAATGCCCCGTCATTACACATTTGTATCAGTTGCTGTTTACCCTTTCA